CTGAAGGTTGGATTTGACCTTTGCTGTTTAGCACAGAGTCTGTCAGGCTTTAGAAGACCCTGTGGGCTAAGAAATCTGTAGGAAGACAGGCCTACCTTACCCGGGCAGCTAGGCTGTCAATTCCAGTGATTTTGTCCACGTCTGGAGGTCTTCCGTTTAGGTGAAAGGCAGTTTTTGCCCAATGGTCAGCGTTGGGCTGTTGAAGTGAACTGCAGATGAACACTGCTCTGCAACTGCTGATGGACGTTGTTCTGTGACCGTTTGTTTTTTGTCTTCTTGGAGGAAACAGAGTGTTCTAGGAGCCACCCTGTCTCTTTTTGTTATGAAAAGTTTTTTAGATAATTAAATAATTAAATATCACATTCCCCAGATCTCTGAGCAGTTGAGGGCTGATTATTAGGTATAACTGCAGTATAGAATCTGTCTGGAAGGTTGGGTTTGAGCTTGACTGTACTGGCTCTTAACAGGTAAGATTCACATTTGTAAAAAGACAGAAAGAAAGAAAAAAAACTGTTGTAACATTAAGATTAGTGGCAGAACTGACAATGGTAGAGAACAGCTTAATATTAAATATAAGAGAGGTAAAAGTACATACCAGTTTAAAATATGAGACTTATGATTTTGTAGTCTGAAATGAGATGTAATGAACAATTATTATATATAGAAATATTGAACAGGAATTAGGCAACGTGCATGCTTTTGATGGGCCCTATCAAAGGCATGTCACTATGCAAAACACCTGTAATGAGAGGATTTCATTGAACACTGAGGGGGGGAGAGAGGAAAGGCAGGGCATACATAAGAATGGGAGAGCTTGGTCACGTGACCTGGCTCTCAGTCAATCTAGCGATAAAGTCACCTGACCCCAGTGAACATGGCAGCAGCGGCAACCACGTGTTGTGGGGGAAAAGTTACAATTTTTGAGCTGTAAGGATTTTAAGTTTAATAAAGAGTGACCTAAAGGCGTAATCTGCCCTGTTGTTGAGCTGCCATGCCGAACCATAAGCCGCAGAGGGGGGCAAAAGGCTGGAACCGAGCAAACTGCTCCATGTCACAGCTGGAATGGAAAAGCCGGCAGGTTAAAAGCCTGGGGCCGCCTGCCAAGGGTGGTTGCTATTCAGAGTATTGAATCGTGAAAACCCACGCAAACAGACAATTTTAAGATGGATAAGTGTGGAGTATTTTAAGTAAGGCATATTTAGGCTGGGACGACTTGCTTCCCATGGTCAAGACCATGAAAAACCCGCAAAAACCCTGGCACCTCAAGCCATTAAGGCGAGATGCAGATGCAGATGACTAGAACAACCAAACCTTGAAAACAGGCATCCAGGTTAACGAGTGGGGTGTTATAGTCCGAACCATATCAACCAATCCGTCCGTGAGAAAGATAAGAAGGAAGAAAAGAATTAAATAAAGAAAAAGAGAACTGGGGGCCCCAGGCCCCCAGGTGCAGGAATGCTGGGTGCTGGCCATTAGCCAAGCTGTCCCAGGCACGGACTTAACAGAGGATGCAAGCCGTAATTGAATGCCAGCGAAGGGGCAGAGAAGTTCCCCCCAAGCCTAAAAACAGCAGGAATACCGGTCAATCCCCGGTTAAAAGACTCAGTTAAGCTGGCCGGAGTGGGGAAACTCATGATTAGGAGACAATGTTGTTTGTAGGAATGACTCCTGGCAGATGGAACATGTGGGTCGGTGTTGAGAAAGTCCTCGATCCTGATTCAATCCCGGAAATGGGAGCTCAGAGTCCCGGACTAAACCTGAAGCTGGGATCCTGGCCCCTGGGCGAGTGAATCTCTCGAGTCCGCAGCACCAGTGTTGTTGTTTAATGTTGGCATGTTCCCCAACAGGCTCGCAGAGCAGCCACTAGTCCGACAAGGACAGCTGTGGGTCCCTGCAAGATCCCCAGGGTGGCAGGCTGGTCCCGCCATGCAGCCCAGAGAGCAGGCGGGTGGGTGCAGCAGACCACGGAGTAAGTAGACATGAGGCTGAACCTAAAGCTAAACATTTATTACTTAAAGAAGAGGCAGAGAGACAGAGAAACAGAGACATAGAGACATAAAAACATAGAGAGAAGAGACACATGTGCACACGCCGAGAGAGAGGGACAGAAGAGGTTAAGATGGCAACCAGGAAGTCAGAAGTGTCTGGGAGTGGATGTGGCTTGCCCTTGAAAGGACCAGACCCAAAGGATTAACACCGATGACCTTAGACCCCCGAGTACAATATATCATAAGAGGGAGGTGGTGGAAGATGTGATATGAGAAAAAGTGAAGGGCAGACTGTGGGTGGAAAGGTAAAGTGAGATTAGGGGAAGGAACTGGAGAGAGCAGGATGTAGACAGCTAAGGAAAACTCAGGGTGTGAAGAAGCTTTGTGAAAAGCACTAGATGATAAACCAGGCACCACAAGAACATGTGCCCGACCCAAGCTCATGGTGTACATGCAATTTTAATGATTCATTTATCCTATGTACATTGGTGTTTTGCCTGTACATTGGTCTGTATTATCCTATGTTCATTGGAGTTTTGCCTCCATGTATGTCTATGCGAATAGACAGCATAAAGGAAGACTGTGGAACTTTGGGTATGACAATAACTGAAGCATCTCGGCCTGCCCAGGATAGGAACAACCAGAGAGCTGCCATAAACAAGGTTGCTCCTAAATGGATAAGCATTGTCAAGGCGTAAAGAAGTGAGGAGAAAGTAGTAGTGGTAAGTGCATATGTGTGAATGCATCAGATGCCTTGGAACTAGAATTACAGACAGGTGTGAGCTGACATGTGGTGCTGGAATTTAACCCATGTCTCCTGAAAAAGCAGACAGTGCTCTTAATGACTGAGCCATCTCTCCAGCCCGCATAGATGCTATTTGTAACAAGGATACTGCTTGTGGGTGAACAATGTTATTCCGTGAAGCCATAGGTCATTAAGTAATAATCTCAGCCCTGCACACAAATTACCTCCCTATTGTCTGGCAGGCCTCAGAGGTGACCAAACTGTAAAGGCAATTTCCACTGCTCTTGGTTGCCCAACACAACAAGTCAATAGGCACCTGTGGCTGAAATACTATAAACTTTTGTTACAGGTCGTAGGGAAGTCAGTCTTGAACTCACCTGCAAATCTCCCAGGTGGCTAATGTTCACAGTACCCAGAAGGTGTTATGCTGGCTGTCGTGAGATAAAGGATATAAGTGATCTTACCCATTGCTGGACCCAGAACAACACAATACTGACTAGCAAGGCATGATGAGCCCACTCATGTAATGACTGCACTTCTGTTCGGGCACCTAACATATTCTTGTCCTGATTGAATCTGAAGTCTGCTCCACATGAATGGCGATATGCCTGGTGCTATAAACATAGTCAAAACCTATTATTAGTGAGCTGATACTTCCTTCAAAGTGCTGGGGGAAGACTTACTGTCGTCCTGCCACATGAACATGTTGTTAAACTGTCTTCTAAATATTCATGTTTGCTTGCCTAGGTCTGCACTGCTCTCAACACTGATTTGAGAAGCTTCTAGTTGCAATAAGAAGTTGTCAATGCAGAGACACGTTACGTTTGGAAGTGCCTTGAGCAACTGTGAGTGCTCAGTCACAGATGGGACATCTATATCCACAAGATGAAGGGAGAGATTGCAGGTGAGGATGATGAAGAAATATCGTACTGTGCAGGTGGAGATTACCAAGAAATTTCAAAGAATACAAAAAAGTATTAAAAAGAGATCTTCTCAAGTGCTTGCAAGTTTTATCAGGCTGACAGTTAAACCAACAAGCACAGCCCACAAACTGCTAGCACCAGAAAGAAATATAACAGGTTACCAAACATTCCAGCAGGCAGCCTTCCTTACTCTGCCTACAACACTGTTGTCACAAAAAGCTATAGTTCCGAGTTGGGCACGTGAAGGGTGCACAGAAGCCTAAACTAAGTAGGTGTGATGCCCATAATGCACTTTTCTTATTTGTCTGTCTGCTGTTTTCTTGGAACTTGAGCATCAGGTCCCATGTGATCAATAGCAGAGTAAAGGTCTGGGGCCTGCACTAGTAATCCACATGCTCTCCTTGAGTCTCCACTTCTTGTTTTACTCACTTATTGGGAGAACACTGTGAAGACATTGTTCCCTATCAGGAAGACAGACATGTACAGAAGCTTTCATCTTTATGTTTGCTCTACCGTATTTCATACCTCAGATCCAGGGAGCAGATTTACATGCAGACATCTAAAGATGCTAACCTTGGGAACAAAGGCAGTGTTCACATTTAGGTGACCATATGCAGCAGAAACTTCAATGGGTCAAGAACTCTACGTGCTTGACTCAGGTAGATCTAGGTATATTTTATCCAAAATCTACCTGTGTCTGTCCCAGAGGAATGGCACACATTGACAAGCCTTTCATCTCCTGCTTGAGAAAGGTAAAAGTCAGCCATACTTACTCATTGCCTGATGAGAGCTGCCCAGAAAGCCTTTACAATGCTCCCTCCTCACTTATGCGTCCATTCAAACCATGCTGTGTTACCCCTTACTGGTTGTTAAAGTAAAGACTGTGAAGTTGAAATGTCAGCTCTTCGGCACAAGCAGCCCTAAAGCTCTCCCATGTCCCTTCACACAACCCCACTTTGCTTTTCATTTATTCAGGGAGAAAGCAAGATTAGCATTGCAGCTAGTAGCCCGCCACTCTGTTCGTTGAGTTTACGTCTTTCCTAATCATAGAAAGTGCGATTTGATTCTCCCTCCCTATTTGCAAGGTGAGGGAATTTCTGGAACCCAATTCCTCCTGGCTGGATTTGGAGAACATCTCTGTTGGTCTTTTCTCTCTCTTTCTACACAGTAAAGCTATGCTTATTACAATGCTTAAATCCTGCTCTGCCTCAAAACCATTGCATCCAAGGAGAAGACTTTCATTAGTGTGTCTGGGAGGCTTCTCTTGTCATTGTGGAGATGGAAATTAATGCCACAGAGTGAGCAATGAGTAAAAAGGAGAAGTTGTGTGGCCATTGTGCCTACCTCTTTAGCGCGAGGGTCCTGGAAGGCCTGGTCCTTCTTATTCCTCTTTGAATGAGGGTCATCGTGGTTGTCTGCCTCATTGTCATCTCTTACCCTTTTCCTGAAAATAGTTTTCAGAGGGAGAGGAAAACCTGTTGTCATTCAGGATTGATCTTTGGGTGCTTAACTTTCAGCCCTGTGCCAATACCCAAATCTGCAGCCTTGTCTAGGATTGGACCTGTAAGAGCTGCTCTAATGGATTCAGAGTCTGCAGGTAGATGGCACTAGGCAGTGGAGCAAACATGTCAAAAAGGAATCTTAGGAATCCTAGGTGTGCCCAAAGCCCAAGTTCAAGTTCCCCAAATCAGAATCTTAATTTGAATCACTGTTTGGGACCAAAAACTTAATGAATTTTGTGGTCAAACGTTAGAACTCTACCTGTCCAGATTCATTTTCTTATCCTCTGAAATAACTGCTCCAAGTTAGATGATTTTAAGCCCTGCCATAGGGCTACTCAATATACGTGAGCCATCTTTGCCTATTTACTCTTGTGTCCTTTCTGCCTGTGGCTAGGAACAGACACGTCCTGTGTACTGTCAGATCATTCATGTTGCTATACCAACAAGTGTGATGTCGTTGTAGCTAGTTGACTTGACTGCCACCATAACACTGTGGCTGATGACTTTCCTGAAACTGTCTAGAAGTGTTTTCATGCTTCATTTCCTTGTATTTTCCCCCATGCCCTTTTTCCACAAATAATTAGTTTGTGATATTTGACAGTATTATTCTTGAATTTTCTTTATATGCTATTATAGAGATATTCTTGATCAGTTACTATATTAAAGATGGTTGGTAGGATTTTAGATATGTATTTGTCTGAGTTCACTTATTTTTCCCTAGTTTTCAATATTGCTTTATTGTCTGAGAGGATTCTTCATGGTCAGATATTGTACTTATTTTAAAGACTTTTCAATCAAACTGTCTACAAAAAATGAAGCTGGATATAGCAAGCAGAGGGTATGCCCAGACAAAGCAGTGTTAACACACATAACTGGTTGGATCTACTGCCACTGACTCTTGCAAATGTTTCCTGACTTATCTCCTTATAATAAGTTAAAGTGGAAAATTAACTGCATCAGGGCAATGCCCAAGATGCAGCATTTGATATTTAATGTGAAGATTTTCTTTTATGGAGAAATACTTCTGAAAGTGAAAAATAATGAAATATCACATGTCTAAATCAAATAATATCATCATGATACAGATGCTATATGGATAAAATCATTCAGGAGATTTGTATATGATTTTATTTTGTAAAAAAAATACTTAGCCTGTATGTGTCTCTCCTCAGGTATTTGTGCAAAGCACAGTCATTTTATATAGTTTTAGCCATGTATTAAAAATGAAAGAATTTTGCAGTCTGTTAAATTCTCCAAGCATAAAGTTTCCTGTGAATTAATCATGTCCATAAACACAAGAATATATTCTTTTTTTTTGAAAGTAATTTTATTAAATTATAAAAAGTTTCCATTTACGCCCCTCCTCCCAACGCCCTCCCACTCCCCCCTCCCTCTCCTCCTCCCTCTTTGTCCCC